CTATCTGGGGAGCACCTGGAGCGAGGAAGAGCGGTGGGGGGGGGGAGAGGGGCAGTGCGGTAGGGGAAGAGACGGTAAAAGGGAACCGACTCGTCGAACGTGACGTCCTGAGAGGGGAAGACACGGCGCGAGGTGGGGTGGTAAAACTGCCAACCAGGCGCGTCAGGGACAAAGCCAAGGAAAACACAGGGAACAGTGCGGGCGGAGAGCTTGTCCGCGGTGGTATCGCGGACAAAGGCACGAGCACCCCAGACCCGAAAACGTGACGCATCGCCAACCTTCCCCGTCCACAGCAGTGTGGGCGAGGTCTCCGGCAAGGAGACACGGGGCCAGAGGTTGAGCTGATGCGCGGCGTACCGGACCGCAAACGGCCACAGAAAATGGGGGGCAGCCGCATGGATCATGGAGGTACGAGCGACCTCCATGACTAAGCCAATGCGACGCTCAGCAACCCCATTCTGCTGCGGAGAGGCCGGAAGCGTGAATGTCTGGCGGATGTCGTGCTCCGCACAGAAGGCTGCCAAGAGGTCGGAGGAAAGCTCCCCACCTCTGTCAGAGTGCAGACGCAGGACGGGAAACTCCGTCCCGAACCGCTCGCGGAGCTGGAGACGAGCAGTGCGGATCCAAGGGATCAAAACATCAGGGACCTCACCCTTGGTGCGCAAGGGGAAGACCGTGGTGTAACGCGTGTAGTCGTCGACGACCAGCAGGAAGTACCGCTCGTGGCCCTGTCCACGGACGCGGGCTGGGCCCCACACGTCCAGGTGGAGAGTCTGCAGGGGAGCCTCTGTGGGAGGGAACGAGGAGGAGTGAGGAGCGGCGCGCTGCCGCCCCTCGACACAGGGAAGACAGGGAGGAGCAGGCAAGGGTGGGAGGGGAGGGAGAACCCTGGGAAGACCAGAGACAAGGACACGGCGGTGCATGCTACGAAGGCGCTGCACCGAGGGGTGACCAAGGCGGTGGTGCCAAAGGAGGGTCTGGTGCGACAAAGCGCGACACGAGCAGGGGGCCGCTAGCTGACCTGACGCAGACACAGACGCAGCGACCTGAGGGGACACAGTAGTCAGTGTGTACAAACTCGAGCCAGGCGCACAGGTAAACGTGGCCAGGTGCCGGCCCGTCCGGGAGCACGTACAGTGGGTCACGCGCTGACCTCCAGGAGTGAACTGGTCAACCCACTGGTCCTGGAGGTCAGCACCACTCACCAAGTTTGTAGAGAACGAGGGGAGGTGAAGACCTTACAGGGAGCCAGACGGGACTGCCGGACACGGCAGGACCGTGGAGGAGTGCGCAAGGACTGGACCCCCAGAGGGGTCTGCCAGGGAGACTGGAACCGGCCGGCTGAGCGGCGTGAGGGTGGTGCTGTCGCGAAAGAAGGAGCGGGAAGCACCTGATTCAAGTGTGAAGGTGTACAAGGCCTCAGCAGGCGCAGTACTTAAGAGAGCAGACTCACCAGCACCTGGAGCAGCAGCCTCACCAGCACCCAGAGCAGGAGACGCACTAGCACCTAGAGCAGCAGCAGGCTCTATACCTGGGTCAGGCGGTACGCACAGGTAACAGGTACAGTTAGCACTAGTAGGCAATGCATACATGGCAGTGAGAATAGCATCATAGTCAAGAGCATATATATCTACCCTCTGCCCAAGCAGCTCCACCTAGTCGGGGAGCTCAGCCTCGTCGCCAAACTCGGTACGCCAGGCGTCACTCAGACGGGCGAAGCAGCGGGACTGGGTGTGACTAAGCGTCCTGCAAGTCTGACCCGTCCGATCACCTGTGCGAATGACGTACGGGCAGCGAACGGTACTCAAAGACCCTCTACTCTGAGCGTACCACTCGTGAAGCTGCTGGGACGTAAGTGTCTCGCGTGGACGCCGCTGCAGCTGCAGCTGGCCACTGCCAGACGCTCCCAACTGACCAGCTCCAGGGCGACAGCTACGACGACTACCGCCACAACCCCAACTAGCGTACCACTCACGAAGCTGCTGGGGCGTGAGAGACTCGCGCGGACGTCGCTGGAGCTGCATCTGGCCACTGCCAGTACCAGTAGCAGTAGCCTAGCAGAGCGGGCGTGGCAGGCAGGCAGGCAGGCAGGCAAGCAGGCAGACAGGCAGGCAGGCAGGCAGGCTGGCAGGCAGGCAGGCAGGCAGATGGCGCGGCTGCGCGCTAACAAGGCAGGTGCTCACCAGTGGCGGGAAGAGCAGGCGCTCGCCGGGCGAGCAGGGCCGGCGCTCGGCGGGCGGCTGCACGGGGTCCAGGGGCGGCGTCGCGGGTCCAGGGGCGGCGTCGCGGGATCCAGGGGCGGCTGCACCAGGGGCGGCTGCTTCAGGGGCCAGGGGCGGCTGCTCTGGGTCCAGGGGCGGCTGCTCGAGGGTCCAGGGGCGGCTGCACCAGGGGCGACTGCTTCAGGGGCCGGGGGCGGCTGCTCCAGGGGCGGCTGCTGCAGGGGCCAGGGGGGGCTGCTCTGGGTCCAGGGGCGGCTGGACCAGGGGCTAGGGGCGGCTGCTCGGGGTCCAGGGGCGGCTGCTCCAGGGGCGGCTGCTGCAGGGGCCAGGGGCGGCTGCTCTGGGTCCAGGGCCGGCTGCTCGAGGGTCCAGGGGCGGCTGCACCAGGGGCGGCTGCTTCAGGGGCCAGGGACGGCTGCTCTGGGTCCAGGGGCGGCTGCTCGAGGGTCCAGGGGCGGCTGCACCAGGGGCGGCGTAGCTGGTGCAGGGCAGCGCGCGGGTCCCACAGGCGCCGCTACTGGCGACGGGGGGGCAGCGCGCAGGCCAGGCGGGGCCGCGTCGGCGGCAGGGTGGGGCCGCGACCGCGGCAGGGCGAGGCCGCGTCGGCGGCCGTAGAAAGCAGCGCGAGGGCTGCGAAGCGACGCGCGGGGCAGGAGAAGGCAGCGCGGGGGCTGCGGGGCGGTGCGTGGGCCTGACAGGGCAGCTAGCGGGCTACGCGCGGGGCTGACGAGGCAGCAGGCGGGCTGCTAGCGGGCTGTACGAGGGCCAGCAGAGGCGAGCGCGAGGGCTGCGCGACGCAGGGCAGTGTAGGCAAGGGGCGGGGTAACTCGGTAACCGGCGGAAAACGGTTGGTGGGCCCTGAAAAACAGTCCTAAAACGGTCCTAAGGACCTATGTTGCTCTTAATACCATGTCGAGAGTAAAGGGAAAAAGTTGGTGCACTATCGAGAAAGTTGGGTACAAGTAACAAAAAACTATACCCTACATTAGCTACCCCACTAAAGCCTACATTCTATTATGACATAGGCATATAATTTGACAGGATGCACCATTCAACAGCAAGCCTAGGCTATGGCATGTTGAGACTACTGTTGGTATAAGTGCCACAGCATGGTGCAAGCCAAACAAATTTTCTTCACTGGCTTCACGACATCATGTGGGGCACTTCATTAGCTCGGAAATTGGAGTCTATGTTGTAGCTATGTTCTGTGTTCATTAAAAATGTACACATGGATGTACTTCCAGAGATAACTCGAATGTATTGTGTGTCACATTATCCAATAGTTGACGCCTTTCGCTCGTGCGCTGAATATTGGCATCCGCGGAAGCTTGGATACATTGGCTAATGAATCTGCGCTACGTGGATTCGGCCGTCGAGCTGTCCAAACAGCAGTAGAAATATCGGCTCGGGTCGGGTGGGGCAATCCACCTGCTGTGACAGTGACAGAAGTGAACCCTCCACGTCATCGTGAAGGACAAACCTTTCATTACGACGTTTCGGCAACACATTTTCCTGACGCGAAGCTCGCCGTCCTTTTCGCATAGGGCATTGTGACTCTGTGGACGTCGCAGGGACAAGACTCGCGAGCACGTGATTCGTCCTGAATTACCCGATAAGCCTGTTACGGCTCCTCACGCGTGGCAAACATCCTCAAAGCCGCGTCGACAGGGACATTCCCCTGAACTCGCCACGTCATAAGAAATCTACTCCGAATGAGCCACGTCATTGTCATTCTGCTTGTGTGACGGGTACTCCACTATCCCTATAAGCATTCGGAGGATGGACCTGGGGATTGCTTGGCTGATCCCTGATCAGAAATTCAGGATTACATTGGGAACTTCGCACAGGTCATCTGCCACAGCACCACTCCAAGCAGGATTCAGGAACCAGGCTCAGCAATTGCTGATGGCAGCAGCCGCCAAAGCTTCTGATGGTACTGGGGGCTCATGCGGCGAGGTAAAATCCATGAGCTGAGTCCTGAGTTTCCTGAGTCCCGCCAGCCTCTGACACGCAAGGGACCTACCATGAGTGCATGATTGCACAGTCACCACCATGAGTGCTTTCACCATCATCATCCATCAGCTAGTTTCAGTATCAAGTTCTGCAGAAGCAGCAGCAGCAAGCAATTGCACAGCCATCTCGGTTTTCTCAAACCCAAACCAGCAGGTCGATGTGACTGAGAAGGAAAGCAGCAGACCGGCATTATACAAGTATCTACTTGTTCACTAGCTGAAGCTTGGGTGTAGTTCGAGTCGTTACAGCCTCTCTTAGCCGCGAAGGCGAATGCAATTTTATTTTCAACCGGGACGCATCGAAGTTTTGTTAGCTTTCCTGCACGTTCTGTAGCGCCAACGAATTATTTTTACTTTATACTCGTCATCAGCCTTCCGGTTTCATTACAGCAGCTATTGTGTAGTATTACGACCTGCCTGAACGGTTCATTGCTCTGCATTTCGGTCAGAGGCTGGTTCGCCTTGCCCTTTTAAATGCGTGCTGTGAGAATCTTTTGAAGTGAATAGCTATGGCCAAGGGAGCAGCCAAGTCCAAGGGTCATAAACCCCGGTCTGAGAAGAGAAAGAAAGAAGAAAAAGGTAAGTCAGCGCAAAGACGCCTCAGAGTGTGGATGATTGAATAATTGTGTCAAAACTGAGGGAATGTTTTCACCAAGATTGTCACCGAACCTTTCTATAGTCCAAAACACTGGCGTAACCTGGCTGCTTCCAATGAACTCTGTCATAATCTATATTTTCATTTTTCACTGGTTCCAATCCATTGCAGTGATTCCCACGGTTCTAGACATAGTGGTCAACGTCCCAGGAGGAAATCAGATTCTGCTCAAGGTTAGTCCCTACGTTCTGTCGCCAAGATTGTAACAAATCACTCAATGACCTAAGCAACATCTAGTCGGATTTTCTTTCACTGACAGCTGATCTCCCAAGCCGGCTAACCAGCACCAAGCGCTGAAGTCGAAAGAGGGTACCTTATCCTTTCTTCAACCCGACCCTGCTACAGGGAATATCAACAGACCGCATATGGGATGTTCGACGGCTCCTGGCCGTACACGTGGACACATGCCACTTCACCAACTTCTCCCTCGCACACGAGGTGCGTTCTACTTACGAGTGCCTTATGTCCCTCTCTCCTCCTCCCTATGAACTTCACAGGTGGAGTTCAATCCTCTGCGCTGCTGCAAGGCTCTACTCCTCTATAATTGATTCGTTACAAGTTTGTTGTTCTCACGGATTTGCTATCCTCATAAGCTGTAGCTAACTAGCTGGTCCTTCTCCGACGCCATCGTGTCCCTTGCATGTCAGTGCCATATTTCCCAGCCACCACAACTTGTTTCACTGTGCCACCTCCCGGCGAGTGCAGGTCCGCGGTCCTCATCTGCGTGACTCCGTGGATGTGGTAGCACTGAAGCCTTGCGTCCTTGACCTTGTTCAAGGTGAGAACACGTGCCTTTTGGTCCATCTCCCCCACCCCCCCCTCCTGCGTGCCTTACAATACCTGGAAGTACTGCAGAAGCTATGTGGCCCAACCCCTGCTCACCTTTTTTTTCCTCATCCCTCAAACGTCCCGCGTGTCCCCCGGGCTACTCTGAATTCTCTTCTCTCCTCCTCCCTTGCTAGATGCATTAGCACGCTAGACTTCCACATCCTTTTCCTCGGGCGTGAAGTGAAAGTGTGACTGGCAACAACAAGAAAAATAACCAAGTGCTGCACAAGAACCTGAACTTCTTCCCTTGCGCTCCAAACACAAGCTAGTCCTAAACTGTCAGCTTCTGTCCCTCCCCCTTCCCTTGGCCATACCCCACCAGTACATAGGGACATCCGTCACAGCTCACACTTGCAGACTGCTGGACTCTTGTCTCCTGCACTGCCACCTTCCTGTCTGAGCCGCCTCCCACTAACTGGACCCGCTGTTCCACATCTTTAACTGGCACTCTACTCTGGACCCCCTCCCTTCCTCCCTGCTCAACCCTATGGTGATTCCTTGTTATGCAGAGGAGTACACGGAGGTAACAGCCAAGGCCCTCATCCGCTGTCTGGTGTTGACATCGTGTCCTCATCCCTTAACTGGCACTCAACTCTGTACTCCCCTCCCTTCCGCCCTGCTCAACTCTATGGTGATTCCCCATTATGCAGAGGAGTACACGGAGGCGTCTGCCAAGGCCCACATCCGCCGGCTGCTGGACATCGTGTCCTGCACTCTCGCCTTCGGACCCTCGACCAAGCAACGCGAGGAGGCTCAAGCAGCAGCCGCTGCAGCAGCAGGTGCAGAAGCAGCAGAAGGAGCAGCAGCAGCAGCAGCGTCTGCACCCACATCCGGTTCCCCTCACCAAGGCAGCAATGCCGGCTCGGCAGCAACCGAGCCTGCAAACCCAGGCGGTGCTGACTCATCCCTGGCTCCCCTCCATGAGCCAGCCCCCGAGGCAAGCAGCAGCGTGGCGGAATTTGGTAAAGTGCTGGGGCTTGGGGACGTGGGCGGCTTCCTCAAGAAGAAGCCGGGCGAAGCAGCAAGCGTGGAAAAGCAGGCAGGCTCGTCTGGAGAGGCGGGGGGACGGTTGACAGGTGGAAAGCACGGCGACGGTGCACTAGCCGAGGTTGAGGGGAGCGGAGCAGGAGGAAGGGAACTGGCAGTGGCGGGTGCAGAAAGGCCGCAAAAGATGGGGAAAGAGCTGGGGAAGGTGGGGACGGAGGCGGGGATAGAGGTGGGGAAGGACCTGTTTGTGACGGGCGCGGATGGCAAGCGGCGGTTCAAGGGGAAGAGGGAGGCTGTGGAGGCTATGGCGGCGGCAGCAGCGGCCACAGAGAAGGGTGACATGACAGGGATGTTCCCTGAGGAGTCGAAGCTGGGGGAGTTTTACGAGTTCTTGTCTGCTGCTTACCTCACTCCGCCCATTCAAGGTGAGTCCCTTGACTCTCCTTCTGTGAAAACAATCCCCTGAAACCATTCTTCCTGCTACTGCTGCTGCTGCTGTTCCTTGACGCTCCTGAGTGCTCTCAGGCAGTGAAGCCTCTACCTCATGCCGGCCAGACTTCCTGGCTGAGCAGGAGCTTGAGGGGATGCGTCAGCCTGATACCCTGGCCCAATGCTGGGCATGCACGGTCACCTCACCTCACCTCACCTCATTCTGATTTTCCCCATGCCCCATGTTCAATCCGCCACAGCCATCCGCAGGTCCCTGCGCGGGTCCGCCAAGACCAAGGGGGCAGAGAAAACCGGCGCACAGGACATGCCGGATATGGGCGCTGAGCTCTTCCCCATAGAGGTGCGTGGGTGTCTTATCGAAGCCGGTATGATCCACTTGCACCCTCGTCTCCTCTCGTTGCCTATCTTCCCCAGTTGACATATCACTGCCTCCCTCCTCCTCGTACCCCCCCTACTTCCTTTCCCTCTTTCCCCCCTCCGCCACAAGGAAATCTATCTTTTGTTCTGAGGTAACTGACCTCGTGCTGCTTGCCTCTTGTGCTTGCAACTCTCCTCTTGACTCTTTCCTCCTGCTTGCTGCCGAGCGGACTGCAGGTGCGGCTGTGCACGGGCAAGATGGTGCTGGTGGTTGCCACCACACAGGGGTTCCTGTGTCCCAGGAACAGGCTGCACGCGCCCTCACTCGTGGGCCTTCTGCGCCTCATGAGCAAGCCCTTCGCCAAGGTGGGCCATGGCTCAGAGCCGCTGCAGGATTCATGTTGCCTTAACACTGTGTGACGGTGGTGAGTGACTGCCCTGGTGCCTGCTTTCCATATGGCTTTGTTGTTCGAACCAGGTGAATGTTCGAACTCCTCTATAAGGCCCTATTGTCCAGCATAAACCCTGTCTGTATCGATCTTTCTACTTCCCGCTCTTCCTTCCTGTGTTGCAGGCCTATGACGACTTGCTTGCTCTCTTCCTGGAGAGAAACAAGGTACAGTGACCACACTGGTTTGTTGCACAGCACTGCTACCATGATGAACTAACAACTGCTGCATTGCTGTTGCTTCACAAACATGGCTGCTGTTTTTTTTGCTGAGAAGGAGTTTCATCCCGCCCATCTTCTGCTTTCCCTTGCCATGGCAGTTTGGCAACACACCCTACGGTTTCAGGTCCAACACGTGGGTTGTCCCTCCACTCGCAGCTGCCAATCCTTCCGTCTTTCCCCAGCTCCCCATGGAAGATGAGGTTTGGGGAGGGAACGGTGGTGGTCATGGCTGGCAGGAGGAGCAGGAGGAACAGGAGGAGCAGGAGAGAAGGGAAACGAACTCAAGTGAGAGGGCAGTAGCAAGCAGGGACTGGGCGAGGGACTTTGCAGTGCTCTCTCTCCTCCCGTGTGACACTCCCGAGGAGCGTGTGGTGAGGGATCGCAAGGCGTTCCTCCTGCACTCCCTCTTTGTGGATACAGCCACTCGCAAAGCCGTTACCGCCATCAACACTGCTGCTTCTGCAGCAGCTTCTGGGGCGGCAGCAGCTGTTGGGGCGGACACGGCTACCGCAACTGAGGCAGTGTCGCTGGGTCGGGTTGCCGAGTCTGGATTCTCAGGTTCGGTAGCAGCGGTGGAGGATGGGGTTCTGCTGGTGGAGCAGCAGGGGGGGATGCGTGTGACTGTAATGAAGGGCGAGGAGGACCCAAGTGGGAAGGTACTGTCAAAAGTGGAGGTGGGGTGGAGAAGGGTGGCGGAGGGGGTGAGGGAGGAAGAGAAGGAGCACATGGCAACGAAGAGCCTCCTGAAGGGGATTTCAGCTGATGAGAGCACAGCAGTTCATGTGAGTGGGCCTTCTTGTCTACCCTGAGTTCGTTAATCCTCACCCATGCCCATCACTCTCCCTCCAATCCCCCAAAGCCAGCAATGTGCTACTGTGCAACCCTTGAGTTGCAACCTTTGTCTATCGTTCTGCCTCTCACTCAACCATGTTCCCCCACACGACCTACCTTTCCCCCCACTCTCCCCTCCCCTCTTCCCCTCCCTCTCCTCCTCCCCCTTTCCCACCACCAACACAGGACTTGAGTCCCTCGGCACAATCATCGTCCGCTTGCATTGCAGGGCCCTAGTGTTCATATGACAGTGCCTTGACACTCTCCTCTCCGTTCCCACCCCCCAAACTCTTTACCTTTCCCTTTCCCTTCCCCTCCCATGCCAACCACGCGCAAGACCTCAACTCCCTGGGCACAGTCATTGTTCACCTGCAGAGCCGCTTGAATGACAGTCCTTCAACGCATTCTCTTCTCTACATCTCTCCGCCGTTCCCCCACCCACACAGGATCTGGAGTCCCTGGGCACAGTCATCGTTCACCTGCAGGGCCTCACCGCGCGAGTGACAGTCCCGGACGCCCCTGCTCGCGCCCAGCAGCTCCAGGCGCAGCTGCAGGCGCTGAGAGAGAAGAAGGCGGATAGAGATGGCAAGGAGGGCAGGACGGGTGGATTGGCAGAGGATGGGGAGGAGAAAGGGGCTGGTGAGGAAGATGGTGGGGTATCTGCAAGGGAGAGAGAGAGGGTGGCGGAGCGAAAGTCTGAAAGGGAGGAGGAACGGAAGGAGGAGGAGGAGAAGGAAGGGGAGGAGAGGTTGTTGGAGCTGGATGTTCCAGAGCAGGAAGAAGCAGGCGCCAATGCACTGAACGCCAACAGGTGAGGCATGATGCAAGCCTGATAATATTCACAATTAGGCACAAAAAGTAGGGTTTAAATAATCAAGATTGTTGCTGTGTATCTTGGAATACTCAAGGGTCCCTCCCATAGCATCCTTGTACACATATTTGCCACCCTGCTTCCTCGTCTCATTGGCATGCCCACATCCCAACAGTCGCCGTGTTCCACAAATGCACCTCATATTCGTTAATAGCTAGCTCGTACAGACTTGAACGCTCTCAACCTGCACTTGCTTCATGGCTCACCAATGTAAAGCTCTCACAGCACATACATGTTGTCGGTCAGTCAGTCACCTGTGCACCACCAATCTCCTCCTCTTGTGCTGCAGCCTTCGGATCCCCCTGCATGCCCCAACACGTAGCCCTGCTTCAAGCAGCACCACCACAAGCAACGCTACCACGAGCGTCCCTGCCACTTCTCCTGCTCCAGCTGCTGCTGCTGATGCAACTCTACATCAGGTGCTGTCTATTGGGCTGGCCCGTCTGCAGCAGGAGGCGGAAGCCCAGCAGAGGGAGCGGCTGGCTAGGAAGAGTGCTTTAAAGGAGAAGCTTGTAGAGGAGCAGGATGGAGTGGCGGAGGGAGGGAAGGGAGTGGAGGAGGGGGTGATGGTGGTGAAGGGTGAGGCAGCTGGGGCCACAGAAGTTGGCGAAGAGGGTGCAACGGGTCAAAGTGGTGCAGAGGTGAAGGGGGTCGGAGATGGAGCAGCAGCAGGGGCAGCTGGGCAGGCGAAAAAGGTAGAAGCAGGTGAGGCGGAGAAGAAGGGTTTGAAGGAGGGGGAGGAGAAGGAGGAGGGGAAGGAGGATGAGGATGTGTTTGGGGATGGCATACTGAGGTGGGAGCTGGGGGCGTGCTGGGTGCAGCACCTGCAGAACCCACCCAAGGAGGAGGAGAAGAGCGCAGAGAGTGGTGAGAAGAAGGATACAGAAGGGGGGGCTCAGAGGGGAGAAGTCAAGGATAAGGATGACGGTGTGAAGGCAGGTAGTGGAGAAAAAGAGGGGAAAACGGAAGGAGAGAAGAGCGGGACTGTTGCAGCAGAGGCAGGAGCAGGTGCAGCAGCTGCAGCTGCCACTACTGCTGATACTAACACGTCTGCTTCCACTACAGGAGTTGTTGTCCCCGCGACTGCTGGTGTGGGCGAGGGGGAGGCAACAGTTGGGATGCATGGGGAGCCCTTGGCAGCAGGCAGGCAAGGGGAACAGCTGCTGGAGTTGCTGGGCGAGAGCAAGTATGAGAAGCTCAAGAAGGCGGACGTGGGACTGCATGTTATGGTGAGCCGCCCTGCTGCCTTCCTCTGTCCTGAGCGTGATGATATATTGTCTTTAGATGTCCCACAAACGGGGAGAGCTGCTGCAGCTGCTGGCTGGCCGAGAAAAGGTGTGGAAAACTCAAGAAGGCACACGTTGGGCTGCATGACATGGTGAGCCGACCTGCTGCTTCTCTCCCTCTCTATTGTCCTGCGCGCTTGAGCCGGCCTCGTCTCTGGTCTCTGTGGCTCCGGATGGAGTGGCTGCATGCTGCGTGGCACGCACAACCTGCTTGGAACTATCTCTGCCCTCCAACCCATTGACCCACAACCTGCTTAGCATGCTCCTTTTACTTTCACCTTCCTGTTGTGGCAAGTTTTAAAACTTTCCCCTTCCCTGTACCGTTGCCCACAGACCGTCCAGGAGCTCACGCAGGGAGCTTGGGACTTCTACAGGAACACTGCCCTCTCTAAGCTGGTAATCGTTTTTGAATCCACCCTATACACAATAATAGTTCAAAAACATGGAAATGCTTATTCTATTGTCCAAAGTACCTGCTTATCCTTTAGAGGTGAGCTTCGAGCGCACATGCAGACGTTGCCATCGATTCAGCTGCTGATTACTCTCCTACAACCTTGGAGCTGCCCCACGTTGCAAGCATGTGGTCAATGGAAGGGGAGGGAAAATCGGGTGATAGGGGCTACTATGGAGCTGTCCCTTGCCCTCAGATTTTGGTGGCAGGGGAGAGCACTGCAGAGGAGGGCGACAAAGAGCAGGGAGAGGAAGCTTAGGAGGAAATTATGCAGGATCTACCAAAGAAGACAACCCCAAAGCAGCCCGTTGGTACAGTCTCTACCAACCAGTCGTCACAGCGGCCAGCCTTCGTTAACGCCAAAGCAGCCAGCCTTCGCCATAGATTACACTTACTATGGCGTTAACGAAGGCTGGCCGCTGTGACGACTGGTTGGTGGAGACTGTACCAAAGGGTTGCCTTGGGGTTGTTTTCTCTGGTAGCTCCTGTAAATTCTCCTCCTACGATTCCTCTCCCTGCTCCTTGTCGCCGTCCTCTGCAATGCTTTCCCCTGCCACCAAAATCTGAGGGCAAGGGACAGCCCCACAGTCGCCCTCATTGACCACACGCCTGCAATGTGGGCCAGCTCAGAGGTTGTAGGAGCTCTTTCCAGTGGATGGGTGCACACTCAGAACCTTTATGCTCACTCATCGACTTCATGCACACTCACCGACTTCATGCACACTCCCTGAATTTATGCACACTCACCGACTTCATGCACACTCACCGACTTCATGCACACTCACCGACTTCATGCACGCTCATCGACTTCATGCACACTCACCGACTTCATGCACACTCACTGACTTCATGCACACTCACCGACTTCATGCACACTCACTGACTTCATGCACACTCACCGACTTCATGCACACTCACTGACTTCATGCACACTCACTGACTTCATGCACACTCACTGACTTCATGCACACTCACTGACACCGTACTCGCGAACTTCAAGTTGCCTCCTTATCCCTTCTCTACACTCTTCTCCCGACCTCTCCCCACCCTCTCCCCGCCTCTCCTGTTCGCCCTTTCAAGGTGTCTGACTTCGCCTCGCTGGAGCTCTCCCCAGTCGATGGGCGCACACTCACTGACTTCATGCACACCCGCGGCCTGCGCATGCGATCCCTCGGCAAAGTGGTCAGTACCCAACACTCTAGTGCTAGCTCACTGCTGCATCTCTCCTCCTTCCTGATGGTTGCGCAGCCACTGACTTCATGCACACCCATAATCTCCACCCTTCCCACTTCTCCCGTCCCCTGCTCCTCCATCCACGCCCCTTGACGTGAATCTTAGTAAAGCTTTCATTCATGCACACTCGCAGTCTGTGCATTCATGTACTCATGTAGATGCAACCCTGTAACGAAGTTGCATTTTCATTTTTACCAAGAACTGAAAGTGACCATCCGAGGCAGCGTCCCTCGCATTCTCCATTCTCCTCTGCCTAGTTGGTCCTCCTCACTTCCCTCCTCTCTCTTCCCCCGATTCTGCTCCACTATCTCTACCTCCCGTGCTGCCCCAGGCTGCACTAGCAGACAAGCTGCCCCATGTGAGGTCCTTGGCAGTACATGAGATGGTGGCACGGGCACTGAAGCACGCTATCCAAGCAGTGGTCACCACCACTGCACTCTCCACTGCTGCAGCAGCACCTGCTGCCGCTGTTGCTGCTGGTGCTCCTGCTGCTGCTGGTGCCTCTCGTTCCCTGCTAGCAGCCAGCATCGCTGCTACTTTCAATGCCATCTTTGGGTCGTCCGTGCATAGAAAGGGGGCAACTGCTTTTTCAAATAATGATGGCAGCAAGGGGGAGGAGATGAGAGCAGGGGATGCGGAGGCGTTGCTGGGAGGCATGGTGTGGCGGTGGGTGCGTGTGTTTGTGCGAGTGCGGTTTGGCTTCGACCTGGACGATGAGGCGCTGGCGGGTCTGCGCATGCTCTCGCTGCTCCGAGCGCTCTGCCTCAAGGTGGGTCGGCGCTCAGCCCAGAGCGCGCAGCCACCACTGTGTGGGGGGCCGGACTCTCTTGTCCACTTGCTGCTTCAGCCTTCTTTCTCAATGTCTGTCACTCTCCTCCCCTGGCTTCCCTCTCAACCACCCCATTGCCTCTCGATGTCAGAACCTTCTCACCCCTTTTCACACCTTTAAAGGTCCCCTTTCACTCAAGTTCCCTTACTCTTTCCCAATCTCCCTTCCTTCCCTTCCCCCATCTCACTCTTTACCACTTCTCCATCTCCCTCCCCTTCTCTCCCCCCAGGTGGGAATTGAGATCGCCCCCAAGTCGTACGACTTCAACTCGCCCACGCCCTTCCAGGCGACTGACATAGTCTCCATGGTTCCCGTTCTCAAGGTCAGCCCTCTTCTTACGCACGCCCCCTAGCGGCATAATCCACGAAGTTTCCTCTTGCCCTCTAATCCCTTCATAACCTCTTCTTACACCTCCTAACAGCAAGTGTGGCAGGCTGCATTGTCCCTGCACTTTCTCCCCCTCTTCATTCCCTCATGCCTTCCATTCTCTCGTGCCCTCCTTGCCTTTGCTGCGCCCTTCATTTCCAATGCACGCACACTGAATCAACCCCTGAATCATCCCAACCCTCTCCAAACTCCCCAATCCCTCCCCAAACCCTTCCAAAACCCTCCCCTGAACCTCTCCCAATCCTTTCCTCACTGCAGCACGTGCTGTGCACGTCAGCTGTTGGCCGCACACACTGTTTAGTCAAAGAACAAACCAGCAGTCAGCTTTTCCCTTCTCCCGTGTGATTCTTCACTGAATTCTCCCAATTCTCCCCCTACCCTCCCCCAACCGTCCCTGCATTGCAGTACGTGCTGTGCACATCAGCTGATGGCCGCACGCTGCTTGAGGCGTCCAAGGCAGCTCTCGACAAGGGCAAGCTCGACGAAGCAGTTTCCTGCGGTACCAAGGTAAAAAAAATCGGTACAACGAGGAAGCAAGGGGTGACAGGTGGTTGAAAACGGTAGAGGGGGGTGATAGGGGTACGGGATGGGAGGTGAATGATTGTCTTGAGGCATTCAAAGCGGCACTCGTCAAATGCAAGCTGGGCCAAAGTAGGTTTTTGTTAGGCATCCAAGGCGGCACTCGCCATCTTAGTGGCAAACGACGCGTCCTGCGTCTAAGACGAGTGCGTCCAGACGCAGCGTCTTAGACGCAGGACGCATGATGTGGGCCTTTGAGACGCAGCAAAAGATGCAGGCCTGGGCAGGAGAAAAAAAACCCCCGGGCAGCTAAAAAAACACGTTATAGGGCATGGGAAGGGGGGGGAGGACGACGTATCACACATGTGAGGCAAAAAGATAGCTATGTAGCGAAAGGTAGCACTATGGAGCGAAAGGTAGCTAAACCCTCAAGGGTTTACGAAGGAGAATTGTGTTCATATAAAGAGATGGAGCACAAATGAAGAGTTCGAGCTTCTAAATGGGCTTGATGGTGGTCCACCATGGTTTGGTTTTCTAGGTGTAGTTGGGTTGTGAGGGGTTGGGTTTACAATTTTGGTGATGGGGGGTTACAAATGTTGTGCGTGGGCTGTTTTTGATGGTCTACATGGGTCTGGGGGGTCGAAATTTCGCGACATTGACATTTGCGTCGAAATCGCGAATGTCAACTTCGCGATCGCAATTTTTTTTTTCGGTCAGCCCGAAAAAAATTCTGCCGTGCGTCCTGCGTCTGGACGCGCGTCCAGCGTCCCTGCGTCCGGACGCTGCGTCCAGACGCAGGACGCATGGCGCGCCCAGCGTCTTTTGCCACTTAGCTTGCCATAGGGGTACGAAGAAAGGGAAATTTAAAAAAGGCGGGTAGAAGGAGTTCAAGATGAGGGATCACTGCTTGACGGGTCCAAGCTGGGTGGAAATTAATTTCCCTCCTGCCCTCCCTCCCGTCCTCCCTCCTGCCCTCCCCCCTTGCCCTCCCTCCTTCCCTCCCCTCCCTCACACACAACTTGCAGGCCCTAGCGAAGCTGATAGCGGTGTGTGGGGCGTATCACCGCATGACAGCAGGGGCGTACAGCCTGCTGGCGGTGGTGCTGTACCACACAGGGGACTTCAATCAGGCCACCATCTACCAGCAGCGTGCTCTCGATATCAACGAGAGAGAGCTGGGGCTGGACCACCCCGACACCATGAAGAGCTATGGCGACCTGGCTGTGTTCTACTATCGCCTTCAGCACACGGAGCTGGCAATAAGGTGGGTGTGTGTGCCCAGTGCATGCATGTGATGTGATACATATGCTCTCTCTCGGAGGTACCGCAGTCATCGAGGGAGCTGGGGCTGGACCACCCTGATACCATGAAGAGCTATGGCGACCTGGCTGTGTTCTACTACCGTCTTCAGCACACGGAACCAGCCATCAGGTGGGTGTGCTGTGCACTCGCAGTCCGATGTATGAATGCCACATACATATGTTGGAGCCTTCGGAGCCTTAGCCGTCATCATGCAAGAATGCGATACATGTGCTCTCTGCTCGGTACCTCAGTCAGGGAGGGAGATGGGGCCGACACCATGAGGATGTGTTCTCTACCGCCTTCAGCACACAGAGCTCGCCATCAGGTGGGTGCCTTGCAGCACACGGGGCTGGTTAGAAGGTTGGGTATGTGCGGTGTTGAGTACAGCGAGGTTGTGTGGCTGCAGTACACTCAGCTGGCCATAAGTTGGGTGCCTTACCTCCTCCCTCCCTCCACTCCTCTCTCCCTCTTCACTCCTCCTTCCTCCCTCTTTCCGTCCCCCTCGCCCAGGTACGTGCAGCGGTCAGACCATGTGCACACTGCTCCCTCTCACTCTCGTATCCTCCTCCCTCCTCCCTCCCCCCTCCTCCCCCCTCCCTCCCAGGTATGTGCAGCGAGCGCTGTACCTGCAGCACCTGACGTGCGGGTCAGAGCACCCCAACAGTGCAGCCACATACATCAACATGGCCATGATGCTGCACGGCCTCTCCCATCTCCACCTCGCCCTGCGCTACCTGCACCGCGCGCTGCGCTGCAACCACCGCCTGCTGGGCCCCGACCACATACAGACAGCGGCCAGCTACCACGCGATTGCGATTGCCCTGTCTCTCATGGACGCGTATGCGCTGTCAGTGCAGCACGAGCAGACCACACTGAATATCCTCCAGGCGAAACTGGGCCCAGACGATCTCAGGACTCTGGTGAGTGAGTTGGTAGCTGACTCCTTTGTCCTCCCAAGTGATCCTTTTCCCTGTCTGTCTGACATGTGAGGCGATGACTACACACTAGTCAGGCGGCGCTGCGCTGCAACCACGACCACATCCAGACGGCCGCCAGCTACCACGCGATTGTGATTGCCCTGTCTCTCATGGACGCGTACGCGCTGTCAGTGCAGCACGAGCAGACCACGCTCAACATCCTGCTGGCGAAACTGGGCCCTGATGATCTGCGAACCCTGGTGAGTTGAGAAGTTCTTTCAGGCGCCTCAGAAGGCAGACCACGCTCAACATCCTGCAGGCAAAACTCGGCCCGGATGATCTCAGGACGCTGGTGAGCTGGTCTCGTAGTTTAGGGTCGTGCTTCCGGATTCTCCTTGGGAGCTGTTTCAACGTGTGAATAATATGATGCCAGCCAGCTGTGAGTTGGTTCCTTGACTCACTGCAATCCCGCCACTCACTCCGTCCATCCATTCTCTCGATAAGTGATTCAAAGAGCATGGCAGCAAGGAACAGCCTCTTCTCAAATGGTCCTCACGCTCTGTCTTGCCCTTGAAACTCATTCCACCGCTCTCCACACCCCATCCCTCCGCTCCACCACTCCTCCCTCCCCTCTCCAGGACGTGGCAGCGTGGGTAAAGTACTCAAGTCAGGGCAAGGCACTAAAGGGTCGGCCTCATCTCAGCAAACCTCTCACCCTCTCTCTCGCCCACCCCTTCCCTCCTCTCTCAGGACGCAGCGGCGTGGCTGGAGTACTTTGAGAGCAAGGCAGCAAGGGTCAGCCTCATCTCTCAATAACCTCTCCCTCTCTCACATCACACCTTTCTCTCCTCCCCCTCTCTCACACCACACCTTTCTCTCCTCCCCCTCTCTCACACCACACCTTTCTCTCCTCCCCCTCTCTCACACCACACCTTTCTCTCCTCCCCCTCTCTCACACCACACCTTTCTCTCCTCCCCCTCTCTCACACCACACCTTTCTCTCCTCCCCCTCTCTCAGGACGCGGCGGCGTGGCTCGAGTACTTTGAGAGCAAGGCAGCGGAGCAGCAGGAGGCAGCCCGCACAGGCACGCCCAAGCCAGACGCCACCATTGCATCTAAGGGGCACCTCAGGTGAGGGAGATGGCTGAGACGCATGCGCATGGGAGCAGATCGATGTAGGCATGGAGCTTCCTCCACAGCATGAGATGAAAAGCAGGTGTTGCATTGAGTCTATGTCAAGAGAAGCAGGAGGCGGCCCACACAGGCATGCCAAGCCAGACGCCACCATTGCATCTAATGGGCACCTCAGGTGAGACAGCAGATGTGAGATGCATGCGCATGAGAACAAGAGTCCCTACTTTCCCTCGCTTCCACTCTCACCTCTCTTCCCCTCTCACCTTTCTTCCCCTCTCACCTCTCTTCCCCCTCTGTCTTCCCCTTCTTCTCCCCATCACCGCCCAGCGTGTCGGACCTGCTCTCATTCATCAACGACGAGGAGCAGGGGCGGCTGTCTGGCCCACTTCTCTACTCAATCGTCCCTCTCTTCTCCTTTCCTCCTTTCGCTTCTCCCCCTCCCCATGACCGCCCAGCGTGTCGGACCTGCTCTCATTCATCAACGATGAGGAGCAGGGGCGGCTGTCTAACCTTTTCTATTCATCACCCCCTCATTCTTCTCCTTTCCCCTCTCTTTCTTTCTCTTCTTCCTCCTCCCCCCACCATCACCGCCCAGCGTATCGGACCTGCTCTCCTTCATCAACGACGAGGAGCAGGGGACGCCGTCTGACCTTTTTTATTCATCGTCCCTCCTCTCTTTCCCTCCCCTCCACCTCCCCATCACCGCCCAGCGTGTCGGACCTGCTGTCATTCATCAACGACGAGGAGCAGGGGCGGAGGGAGGTGATTCAGGAGATCATGCGCAAGCGGGGCCGACGCCCCTTGCTCAAGGTACGTACACGAGGCACTGACGCCCCTTGCTCAAGGTACGTACACGAGGCACTGACGCCCCTTGCTCAAGGTACGTACACGAGGCACTGACGCCCCTTGCTCAAGGTACGTACACGAGGCACTGATGCCCCTTGCTCAAGGTACGTACACGAGGCACTGATGCCCCTTGCTCAAGGTACAATGCTTGTGCCTTGACATGCATGCGGAGCTTAACATGTTTGTTTTTGCTTATTCTTAATCCTTCAAGAGTTATGTTGCCTTGGTGATCTCCCCCGCTGCCTCCCCTACGGTCCTTGCCTTGGTGATCACTCCCTTCCCTTTTATCCCCTCCTCCCCGTCCTTCCCCCACAATCCCTCCTCCACCCCTTTTCCCTCACTTCCTCCCCTCCCCCTCCCCTTCTGTCTCCCCTGCTTCCCCATTTCCCCTTTCCCCCCTTCCGCTTCCTTCTTTTCCCCCTCCCCCCTCTCTCATCTTGTCTTTCAGTCCAAAGGCGATCGCCTCATAGCAGCGGCGCCTCACAACACAGTCACCGGTGGAGAAGAAACAGCAGAGAAAACCAGCTCAGGACTGGTCGAGGCTTCTACTGGCGAAGTTTCTGCCTCTGGAGGTGCTAATAACGGGGTCACTGAGAGTGTCCCTGCTCCTGCACCAGCACAAGCAGTAGCAGCTGCAGCACAAGTAGACGCCGGGTCGAGGCCGCTTCTCAGTGGTGAAGCAGCAGCAGCTGCTGCTGTTGCTGCCCACGCTCCTTCGTTTGCTGCTGCTGCTGCTGCTGCTGCTGCTTCAGCACCTGCTTCCGCTTCTGCTGCTGCTGGAGCGGCAGCAACCGCAGTTGCTGCTGCTGCTGCTGCAGCCACTGCAGCGGCATCTGGTGCTGCAGCCACTGCAGCGGCATCTGGTGCTGCAGCCACTGCAGCTGCATCTGGTGCTGCAGCCACTGCAGCTGCATCTGGTGCTGCAGCCACTGCAGCTGCATCTGCTGCTGCAGCCACTGCAGTGGCATCTGGTGCTGCAGCAGAGGAGGATGACTCTGACGGATGGCAGACGGCCTGCAGCCGCGCTCACAGGCACAGCCACCAGCGCAAGGTGGCATCTGCTGCTACTGGAGCATCAGGAGCAGCAGCAGGAGGGATGGGCGTTGGGGGGGTTAAGGCTAGTAGGGGTGTGGTAAGGGGAACGGATGCTAGGGGCAAACGGGTTGGTCCCAAGCAACAAGTGCAAGCAGCAGCAACAGCGGCAGTAGGAGGAGCAGCAACAGCAGCAGCAGTAGGAGGGGGAGTGAGCGTGGCAGGGGAGAGAAGCAGGCAGAAGGTAGGCCCCGGGATTTCACCTGTCACTCCTTCCCCTGGAGCTGCTCCTTCCCATGCTGCAGCTGTTGCGAATGTTGTCGAAGCGATCCCTGCTGCAGCTGTTGCTGCTGCTGCTGCTGCTGGCAGTGGTGCTGCAGCTGGGGATGTGAACTCCACAGCCCTGGCCCTCGCAGCGCCTGTACGAGAGGGTGAGAGGAAGAATGCATGGGGACTGAGTGCCGGCTCCAAGGTACCTGCTTCATCTGCGACTGTTGCTGCTGCTGCTGCTGCTGCTGCTGCTCCTACTGCTGCCACTGCTGCTACTCCTTCTGCTGCTACTTCTGTGTCTCTTGCTGCTACCGCTCCTACTGCCTCTCTTGTTGCTGGTCCTGGCGCTTCTGCTGTTCCGGCCGTTTCTCCTGCTTCTACTCCTGCTAAGGCTGCTCCTGCTGTGCCTCCAGCCACTCCTGCTTCTACTCCAACTGCTGCTCCTGCTGCTCCAGCTCGTGTCACTGCCTCTCCTGCTGCCCCTCTGGCCGTACCTCGTCCTACCTCTGCCCTTACTGCTGCCAGTGCAGCCAGTGCAGCTACTACAGCTACTGCAGCCACTGCAGCTACTGCTGTTGCTAATCCTGCTACAACTGCTGCAGATGCCGCACCTGCTACAGCTGCTACAGCTACTACTGCTACAGCTACTGCCGCCCTTGCAGCTCCCAAGAGGGCCCCTGTCCCGCCACCAGGCCCCATGACCCGCTCCTGGAAGGAGATCGCTCTTCTGCCACCTGGCAAAACGGCATTGGCTGCTGCACCAGCGGTGCCAGAATCTGCGGCTGGAGTTTCAACGACAGCTGAGAATGGCCCTGCCAGTGCGACCACTGCAGGAGGCACGAGCAGTGGAAGCAGTGACAGCCCAGAAGCACCTGTAGCAGCTGCAGCAGCCACCGGCAGCTCTGGAGCAGTCACTAGCACGAGCCCGAGTTGTGCCGCAGGCTCTGATGCGGCTGCCAACTGTAAAAGCCCTGCTGCTGTCGCTACAAGCACTGCTGTCGGTACGACCAGTGGCGACAAGACCGCTGGAACATCAGGGAGGACGCAGCAAGCGGAGCAGGTGGGAGGGACGAAAAGTCAAGCTGAGGAGAGCGGTGGTGTGGCTGGGAAGAAACTAGTGGGAGAGGAAGTGACAGCGGGGGTGGGGGTGGTAGCGAAGGCGACTGCTACTGCTGCCACTACTGCTGCTCCTACGGCTGCTCCTGGTGCTCCTGCTGATTCCGCTGTTGCACCCTCAAGTGGAAAAACGACTGATCCCAACCCCACCAGCACCAACACCAACACCAGCAGCACTGCCAGCAGCAGCAGTAGCACTGCAGCAGCCAGCAGCACAGGCTTCAGCAGTGCAGCAGTCACAGTGGCTAACTCTGCCCCGTCCACTTCGGCTCACAGCCCCTCCAAGCTCTCCCCATTGGCTTCACCTTTCCAACCTGCCGCTGGACCCATCACCACCACTACATTAACCATTGCAACCGTGATTTCCACTGTCTCCCATTCGATTCCACCTGCCGCCACGATTGAGCCTGCGTCGGCTGCTTCGAACTCTAGTGCTGCTTTTTCCAGTAATGAACCAGGTAATAGTGAGGCTGCTTCTCCCCCCGCTGCTGTAGATTCCGCAGCTATCCCTGCACCAGCTGTTTCAGGAGCTCCAGTAGCAGCACCAGCAGGATCAGAGGAACCAATAGCAGAGACTGTGGCAGCAGCACCTGTAGCAGGAGAGGCTGCAGCAGCAGCTGTAGCAGCAGCTCCTGCAGCAGGAGCGCCTGTAACAGCAGCAGGAGCATCAGCGCCAGTGGCAGCTGGACCGGTGCTACAGCCGTTGATTCCAGTCCCCATGCATCCAATGATGCCCCCCCCACATGGGTACCTGGCACCACCAGGGCACTACCCCATGCCATACCCTCATCACCCTTATTATTATCACCCACAGGCCCACCCACACCCTCACTCTCATGCCCACTCGTACCAACTGCAGCAGCAGCAGCAGCAGCAGCAGCAGCCGCAAGACCTGCAGCAGTATAGCCAGCAGCAGCAGCAGCAGCAGCGCTACAGCCACCGCTACAACCGTCCGGCATTCATCCCCCCCAGGTTCCTGCGCAATGCAGCCGCTACAGCTGCCGCTGCCGCTGCTGCTGCAGGCTCTGGTGCAGCCATGGGAGGCGCACCTACCTTACCTACCATACCTGCTATGCCTGCTGTGCCAGTGTACATGCCTGTACACATGCCTGTGCACATGCCACTGGGAGTGCCTGTGCCTGGGGGGGTGCTGATGCCTGTGGGTGGGCCTCTGCCTGTGGGTGCACATGCTCCGCCTGTGGTTATGGCTTCCGCCAGTGCTGATCCATCTGCCTCTCCTGCTGCTCCTGCTGCTCCAACACCAGCCAATTCTGATGCCAATCTGATGCTCTTTGGGGACGATTTCCCTCCTCTGCCGTCTTCTGCTGCTCCTGCTCCAACTGCTGCAGCGAGTGAGGTATCTGACAGTGCTGCCAGTACTGACCCTGCTGCTGTGGCTGCCCATAGTGACGCCTCAGCAGATTCTGCGGCACCTGAGGCTGTAACTGCACCTGAGGAAGCACCTAAGGCTGTAACTGCACCTGAGGAAGCACCTGAGGCTGGAACTGCACCTGAGGAAGCACCTGAGGCTGGAACTGCACCTGAGGAAGCACCTGAGGCTGGAAATGCACCTGAGGAAGCACCTGAGGCTGGAACTGCACCTGAGCAAGAACCTGAGGTTGTGGCAACCCCCGAGGAAGCACTTGAAGCTGCAATTGCACCTGAGACAGCACCTGGGGTTGTATCAGCGCCTGAGCCTGAGGGATCAGCTGCACTTGCGACTGTAGCAGTTCCTGTGCATGTGGCAGCACCTGAAGCTGTGGCAGCACCTGAAGCTGTGGCAGCACCTGAAGCTGTGGCAGCACCTGAAGCTGTGGCAGCACCTGCAGACGTAGCAGCACCTGCGGTGGATGCATGCTTGGATTCTGATGCACTTGCTGCGGCACCACCATTAGCATCAACAAAAGTGGCAGCAGTGGCACAATCAGAAGCAGCAGAGCCAGCGACCCCAGCTGCAGCAGCAGCAGAAGCAGTAGCAGCACCTGCTGGCGTGGGCTTGAGCGCACATGCCACACCATACCAACCCACTGCCCCACTATCCGCACTCTCCCCACCATCAGCTCCCACCACCATCACGCCATCCACTCCTTCTGCTACTGCCCCCACATCCCCTGCCGCCACAGCCCCCACACCTGCTCCAGCTATTAAGCCCATGAATCCTCACGCTCTCGAGTTCGTTCCAGGAAAGAACTGGGGTGCTCTTGGGCCTGCTGCTGTAGCAACCCATCCTGCTAACTCACAATCCGCAGTGGCAGCAGGAGCAGCAGTGGTGGCAGAAGCAGCAGGAGGAACGGGAGGAGCAAAGGTGGTGGGGTGGAGAGCGGTGCTTAGTGGTGGTGTAGGTTCTGGCAGCGGGATGGCTGGGGAGGGGACTGCTGGTGGTGCTGCTGGTGGAGCTGCTGGGAAGGTAGGAAGTGGGGAGAAGGCAAAGGCACATGGCAAGAGAGGGAAACAGAGCAAGGGGGGCAAGCACGAGCAGCAGTGGGAGCGCAAGGGGAAGAGCGAGCAAGTGGGGGCGGAGGGTAAGGAAGGGAAGGAGAATGGGAAGGAGGAGTTAGCACCAGGAAAGGAGAATTGGATTGTGATACAGAGGGATGTGACAAGAGAGGGGGAGAGGGAGGGAAAGGGAAGGGAGAATGAGAAGGGAAGGGATAATGAGGAGAAAGGAAGGGAGAGTGAGGAGAAGAGAATTGAGAGTGAGGAGAAGGCAAGGGAGAGTGAGGAGGTGATTGAGATTGTGAAGGTGTGCGTTTCCGAGACTGTGGTCTCAGGGGATGGTGGTTCTGACCCTGAGAAAGATAGGGGTGCAGAGGAAGGGCAAGCGGTTGAAAACGATAAGGTAGAGAAGGAAGGCAAGGAGCAGGTGGAGGAGGAAGAGGAAGGGCAGGTAATTTCAATGCTCTCTCTGAGCGATTCTGGGAGTGATCCAGAGAGCGAGGAGGTGAAAGGGGAAGAAAGGGGTGATGTGGATGACAAGAATAGAGGGAGTAAGAAGATGGAGGGGAAGGGAGGGAAAGGTGAGCAGGCGAAGGGGAGGCAGGAGGCAGGGAAACCTGGCATGAAAGTGTCTATGTCCTGGGCAGATATGGCTGATGTCATGGATGAGGAGGATAGGGCGGAGACGATCGAGAGGAAGGGAGGGAAGGTTCAGCAGGCAAAGGGACAGCAGGCGGGGAAACCGGGGATGAAAATGTCAATGTCTTGGGCAGATATGGCTGATTTGATGGATGAGGAGGATATGGCGGAGGCCGCAGCTGATGCTGCTGCCATGGATAAGGAGGTGGTTGGGGGAGGCAGAGGAGAGGGCTGGCAGCAGCAGAGCCACCGGCAGCATTCGCAGCATCAGCAGAGGAATCATCGGCAGTGGCAGCAGCAGCAGCAGCATGTGAAGCAGGGAGCAAACAGGGGAAGGGGACAGCAGCAGCAGCAGCAGCAGCAGCACCAGGAGGGACAGCGGCAGCAGCAGCAGGGACAGCGGCAGCAGCAGCAGGGACAGCGGCAGCAGCAGCAGGGACAGCGGCAGCAGCAGCAGGGACAGCGGCAGCAGCAGGGGAAGCAGCAGCAGCAGGGACAGCGGCAGCAGCAGGGGCAGCAGCAGCAGCAGGGGTACCAGCAGGAGCAGAAGGGGCAACATGAGGGGCAGCAGCCGCATGGGCAGAAGGCAGGGCAGGAACAGGAGGGGCAGAGAGGCCCAGGGAGGAGGCGAGGGACCTCTGTCCCTCGTACCACCTGGGCCCCAAAATCAACCCAGCCGGCCCAGCAGCCACCTGTTAAACCTGATCAGGATCTAGCTGACAAAACCACTGTTATCTCAGGTGCTTCAGGTGTTTCTAATGGTGTGGGAATACTGGGAAATGGCGAGGCACACGCAGCAGCTGTGGCCGCACAGGGGAGGGGCCTACAGGGGACTGATTGCACTGGTGGTGGGAGAGCGGCAAGAGAGGGGAGGCGGCGTGGTGGGAGGGGCGGGGGGAGAGCGCAGGAAAGGGGCCATGGGGCTGTGGAGGGTGGGGGGGGGCATGGGGGGGAGCATGGGGCAGCAGAGAGGCACATGAATGGGGGACCTGCTGTTGGTGTCGAGGGGGGAGCGCAAGGGGGAGGGGAAGGGGAAGGGAAGGGTGTGGAGAAGGGGGAAGGGAGAGGGGAAGAGAAAGGGGAGGAAAAAGGGGAGGGGACAGGGGAGGGGGAGGATGGATTCACAGTGGTGACGCCTAGGAGGAAGAAGCCTCCTCGCAGTACAGGCCACGGACGACAGGTAGGTGTTTGAGGCGGTGCAATGCGGTGCTCTGAGGGGCTGTGAGAGTGTGTGAGGTGGGACATTGTGCTGTGAGATGGCGTGGGGTGCTGCGTGGTGCTGTGAGAGGCTGTGCATTGGAATGCGATGCTACAAGGTGCTAAGTGCTGCTGGTTCCCAATGCAGTATGAGGGGCAATGCATTGTGCGTTGGTTTATCGCAGGCCTTGGAAACTACACAGATGCCCAGCCGCTTTTATACCTGTGCCTGACTCTCTGTCTCTCTTTCGTGTCGAGCTCTTATGCTTCTCATTTCCTCTTCTCCATCCCTTCTTTTTTCATGCAACAGGGGCCACACAGGCAGAACCAGCAGCAGAACCAGCACCAGCACCAGCACCCGCACCAGCATCAGCAGCGGCCGCACCAGCAACATCAGAATGGCGGGAACGGCACAGCTGATGCTAGCACACAACCAGCGAGCATGGCAAATGGCAACGGCAATGGCAATGGGAGTTTCAACAGCCATGGCAGCACCCCTGACAGCAGCAGCGAATCCAGCAAGCACCCTCATCCAAATCCCCACCCCCACCCCCACCAACCACCATCATCAGCACCACCGCAGGCGTTATCACCAGCGTCGCGGGGGTAAGGCGGCAGGAGAAGCAGCAGCAGGGGAGGAGGGGGCAGCAGGTGCAGGAGGGAGGGGAGGAGCAGGGCAGGCAGCAGCAGGTACAGCCACAGCCACAGCTGCTGCTACAGCAGCAACATCTGCACCAATCCCTGCTGCCGCGTGAAGTTTGCAGCAACCACCAAGAAGCGTGCAGCAACCACCACGAATAATGAGTGGGAGATGGAAGTAGTTTTTTTCTCCTTTTATGTTCTTTTCCATTCCTAGAATTGTCTTGTCTCTGGTACCCTTCTCTTTGATTTCATAGCTTCGTTTGTCCATCTTTGTCCTACTTAGTTTATCTTTCTTCTGTTCACTGCCAGCCCATGAATTCTTCTTCACATAAACGTACGGTAAATAGTAATCTGAAAGCGAAAAAAAAAAAGTGATGTCAAAACCACGTGGTGTAAGAGGACCGACGCCTTGCACTGTTTGAGCAATGCATAGAGGCGTTATCCAGCTACTGTGGTGTGGTTTATATTTTAGGCGTCTCAGGCCTCGCACCGTCTGAGCGATGCACAGTGGTGTTATCCAGCAACTGTAGTCCTGCTATATTTCTCATTGCCACCCTCCTTTCCCTTCCCACTGTATCACTCGGTTTGATCACCCTCACTTCCATCCCACGGAATTTCCGCTCACCTCTCCCTCACTGCACTTCACTTCACCCCTCCTCTTCCCCACTCCCTTCCGCTCCTCATCCTCCCCCACTTCCTTAGTTGTGCCAAAGCACTATAGTGGCACGGTCATCGCACTCCCATTCCGCCTACAAGCCTGCTCAGCTTCTGGAATTTTGTGGGGAGGTGCTTCAACTTGTGTTCTTCAGACCCTCAAAGTTTCAGAGTTTTTGAAGCAGTTTACAAGGCATGGTAACATTTTTAGTTTCAAGACTTATGGCATCCCGGAAGTGAATGTTACTCTTTTTTTGGTAACACCCGAGTTCACCATTTCGGCTGCTGACTCATCTACCAAGATCTGATTGGTCTCAAAATCGGTGTGGCAGTCATTTGCCGTGTTGTGCAGGTGGTCACCGAGTTTCAGGACAACCCGGCATCGGAGCAGCACGTGACAGCTGTCGAAAGTTACTGTTCCGTAGTCATGGTGCACTGTTGGCAGCATTTCCCTTGCCACCCTTTCATTGTTGTCATGCCAATGGTGCAGGGACAGAGAATGAGACAAGAAGTATAGGTGGTCAAGTGGGACTCTACCACCCTCCTTTTGAGAAGTGTGGTCTTCCTGGAAGCAGCTTGCAAGAGGGTGCAAGTGGGAAGACAAGCTGACTCATGGTTGGCTTGACTCACTATTGGTAGCCTTGAGTACAGCTCTGAACATCCAAGTGTGGTTGGCTTTGCTGACCTAGCTAGGACATTTCCCATCCTTCTCTAGCCTTTCTCCCCTAGGACTCAACCTTCTCTGAGTTCCCAGGATGGTCCCAACCCCTTAAGAGTCCCCTAGGCAATGTTGTACCAACCTCTTCCTTGCATCAATGAAACTATACGTTTTCAGCCAAGCTTACGTTTTTGTTCACTGCGTAATGCATAAACCTCTGATGAAAGCAAGCAATATACCGTTGGAAAGAAGACACTTGAAGCTAACGTTTCTTCAGGTTTCAGCCTCGTATGTTATCGGAGCTGATCGTGACGGCGTTTTGAATAGAGGCGGTTCGAAGTCATCAGATTCTGCTTAGGCGGTTTCAAGGGCATCCGCGACCCCTAAGTGGACTCTAGACTATAACAAGTGGTATCAGAGTGGTTCTTCTCTGTTCCTGGGTCAATATGGAGGCTGAAGGTTTTGCTCCAGCTGGTCTTAGTGGCAGTGGTGGCATGAGAGGCGCTGGGGAAGCAGGAAGAGGCGGTGCAGGCGGATCTGCACCAATAGCATCCGTTTCAACACCACCCAAGGATGATGTGAAGGCATTCAACCTAGAGAAGTTCTCTGGGGAGGATTGGGCATCATGGAGCTTCAGGATGGAGCTCCTATTTAACCATTATGGGCTGCTTGAAGTGATGGATGGAGAATTGAAGAGGCCTGCGAGCGAAGGAGCGACCAAGGAATGGGATCGCCGATCCAAGGATGGATTCTTCCTTCTCTCTCAATGCCTCTCATCCAACCAGCTGCACCACGTCAAGCATCTCATCAAGGATATCCGGTGTGGTCCCAAGGCATGGAAAATATTGAAGGATGTCCATGCCCCCAGCAGCAAAGCGATGGTGGTGGTGCTCGAGCGACAACTCCATGCGGTGAAGATCAACGAGGGTGATGCCGTGCAAGGAGCGTTCGATCAACTCCGGGACCTCTATGTGAAGCTTCATGGTTATGGTCTGAGAAGATCAAGTGCTACAAGGCTCTCTCCCTGCTGCCGGAGTCGTGGGGCCCCTTGGTGGTCAACCTCAATGGCATGAAGGACTCATGGTCCCTTGAGTGGATCCGTGCTCAAGTCCTTCAAGAGGAGTTTCGGAGGAAGGAGCTGACTGCCGCTGCCGGTGAAGGTGGAGGCTCTGCCTACGGCATGAAAGGGTTCAAGGGACGTGGCAGCAAGAAAGGCAAGGCCAAGGAAGGCTCTGGAGGGGAGCAGTATTCAGGAGGGAAGCGTAGCAACAAGGGAGGCAAGCGGTGTGGCGGCAAGTGTTGGTATTGCCATGTGGAAGGTCACCCATGGTTTAAGTGCCGCAAGCTACCTGACGATTGGAGGCCTGGTCAGCCATCAATTGAAGGCTCTAAGGGTGTTCATGGAGCTATGGGAGAAGGCATGGGCAGTGAGGAGGGCGATGGAGGTGCCGGCGGACATGGCGGCATGTTCTACCATGTAGGAGAGGCATGCTCCGAGGACATGGTTGTACCGGCCAGCAAGGTTGCTCTTCACCGTTCCTCCCATTGGGTCATCGACACGAGAGCCTTCATGACCATGACCAACTGAGAGGATCTGCTGGATGAAGTCAGGCCATCAAAGGCAGCCACCGTTGTTTCAGCCACCGGCCAAGTTGTACCCGTGCGTGGCGAGGGGAGAGCCATGTTTATGGGTGCGGATGGGAGGCTTGTGGGGCTGAAGCGTGTTCTTCTTGTCCCTGGACTATTTGCCAACCTTCTCTCTACCAAGGCATTGAGTGAGGCAGGGATGAAGATGGAGATGATGGGCACAAAGGTGTTCAAGGCAACTCTGGATGGGCGCGTGTTGTGGGACCTCCGAGGCGGCAAGGACATACACCGGTCCATGTGGGAGGTACCGGTGCTGCCATGGAAGGAGGCGGCTGCGCGCTTGGCTGCTGAAGCTGTAAGAGGAGGGCATGCAAGCCACGTAACCAAGTGTAACCAAGTGTAACTCATAGCACAGGTGAGACGGATTGGCTCACCGCACACCGTCGCTTTGGCCACGTGGCGCTACCTCAGTTACAGCAGCTGTTTAAGGAGGAAAGAGTCAAGGGTCTGAGGATAAAGGGGGAGCCCAAGGAGGTGGGCTCTTGTGAGACTTGCTTGACCAGCAAGTTCTCACGATTTCCCTTCCATTCGACGGTGGGGCAGTCAAGTGACCCGGTGGAGCTTGTGCATGTGGATCTTGTGGGGCCTATGAAGGTGAAGGGCGATGGTGGGGCCCTGTATTCCATGACTATGGTGGATGATTACACAAGGCTCACCTGGTCTTTTCCACTTGCAAAGAAGAGTGATGCTGCAAGGGTCATCATTGAAGAGTGGCTGCCCATGGTGGAGCGAGAGAGCGGCAAGCGGGTGAAGGCGATTTGTAGCGACCGTGGTGGGGAGTTTTTGGGAGCAGAGTTCCGGAGCTGGTTGAAGCGGCACGGCATCAAGCAGCAACTCACCACGGCCTATACCCCTCAGTCCAACGGTGTGGCAGAGAGAGCGAACTGGACCATCATAGAGGGCGGGAGAACGATATTGGTGGACTCGGGTCTACCCTTGCGGTTCTGGCCCCTCTATTCGTCATGCTACCGTCATCAAGAACCGGGTGTTGACTCATGTGGGAGGTCAGCATTGGGTCCTTATGGAAAAGTGGAGTGGCAAGAAACCCCTGGTTGACATGCTTCGTGTCTTTGGGTGCATGGGGCTCGTGCATGTCCCTAAGGAGAAGCGTGACAAACTTCAAGCGGCGGCGGTGTGTGCTGTTCATTTGGGTCTTGCACGGGGGAGCAAGGGCTGGCTCATGTGGGACCCAAAATCCAACACCGTCTTCACCACCAGAGATGCCAAGTTCATGGAGGGGCTCATGTTCAAGGAGTGGTCGGAGCGGGGGAGGAGCAAGGTCACCATTCCGCTTGGAATAGAGGTGGGAACGAACGACCCATCGAGTTCTCCTCATCTTCAGAGTTGACAGAGGTGTCACATGACTTGGGAGGTGCTGAAGGGGAGGCAACAGATGTGGAAGAAGTAATGCAGCAAGGGGAGGCCCCTGTAGCTGAGAGAGGTGATACCGAGGAGGAGGTACAGCAGCCTACACCATCCCCTAAGCTTCCACCAAGGCGCACAACCCAAGGGAAGCGTGATGCTGTCCGTGGTGGAGCCAAGGAAGGAGCAGCCAAGGAGAGGCCCAAGAGAGCTGCCCACCCAAGGGATTTCCTCAAGTATGAAAGGCTTGGGGTTCCCAAGGCATTGCTGATCCAGGAGGAGGAAGATGAGGATGAGAAGGGAGCCAAGGGGGAGATGGAGCAGATTTGTTGCTTTGGCGTCAACTTACCTCATGAGCCGGCGTCAATGGAGGAAGCTCTCGCTGGAGATGATCAAGAGGCGTGGCTGGCTTCAAGGGCGGATGAGTTCCAGAGCCACATGGAGAATGAAACGTGGACCCTTACCAATCTGCCCCTAGGAAGGAAGGCGTTGGACTGCACGTGGGTGTTACGTGTGAAGACCGATGCGGAGGGGAGGTTGGAGAGGCGAAAGACAAGGCTTGTGATCAAAGGCTTTCAGCAGAGGGAGGGGATTGACTTTCAAGAGGTGTTTGCTCCTGTTGCCAAGGCTCCTATGCTCCGGTTGTTGCTAGCAGCCGCTGCCGTTTGTGGCTGGAAGGTGGAGCAAATGGATGTGAAGACGGCGTTCCTCTATGGCGTGGTAGATGAGGAGATCTACATGAAGCAGCCAGAGGGGTATGACGATGGGAGCGGACGTGTTTGCAGGCTCAAC